TGGGTGGGTGGGTGGATGAATGAGTGGATGGATGAATGGATGGATGCATGAGTGGGTGTGTGGATGGTTGGGTAGGTGGATGGGTGGATGGGTAGATGGATGGATGCATGAGTGGGTGGATGGATGGGTGGATGGTAGATGGGTGGATGGGTGAGTGGATGGATGGGTGGGTGGGTGGATGGGGGATGGGTAAATGGATGGATAGAAGATGGATGGATCGATAGATACAAGAGGAGATTTCTAGGGGAAGTAGCCCACAGTCTTGGAGACTGAGAAGGCCCACTGCAGGGTATCTGCCCACTGGAGACACTGGAGTACTGGCAACATGGTCCAGTTCAAGCCTGAAAACCTGGGGATGGGAAAGCTGCTATCATTGTCGGTCTAGGGTGACCACCAGCCTCCTGTGTTCTGGGATTAGGAAGGACCTACCAGCTCCCTTTTCTGCCTTTCACCTGCTTGGCTCCCAGCTGTTGAGGTGGTGCCCTCCCCCCCCCCCGCCCCCACCACTGGAGTGCTCCTGTCTCACATTCTAGCTCTTCTGGACATAAGCAGAAAAGATGCTCAGCCCTGTCTGGAGTTCCTCACCTGGGTCAAGCCGACAGCTGACATCAGCCACTCAGTCTGCTTCAGTGATTGCTCCAAGTGGGTATGAATATGAACTGGTTTCTTTCTCTCCACAACATCCCGGTCCTGATTTGATGTTAGCCTGGTGGTGGTAGTACCGTGTGTGTTGTTGGGGGGCCGATGTCATGTCACATTGCAGGAAAGATCAGTATCATTGCTAAATAAAATCCATGACAGCCATGGACAAATGGAGTCAAACTGTCGACCCCACCAAGAAGACTGCCTTGGGGAGCTCCTCAGGCCTGCTGTCAGAGTGCTTTCCATGGTCATGTCCAAGACACGTCAGTCTAGATGCCCTTCGGCACTACAAAGCCGTACACTCAGCTTCAGAGCAGACCGTATGGACCAGGCTGCCACGAAGTGATCGAGCCACCCTCATTCCTGTAGGTCATTCCAAAGGGCAGGATGCCTTCCTGACAGACATTTTGGAAGCTCTGTTGCCTGAGTGTGTTGGCTAAAGGAGGACAACCGAGTTAGAGGATTGGCTTTGGTGGTCACACTGTGGTTGATGAGCGAGGCAGCCAGCGCTGGCCCAAGGGTGTTGGGCTCTGTCAGTCTGTGCACTGGGGTTTTGGGAGGCACCTGGGAAGCTAGCGCTGTGCACTCCTTGTGCCCTTCCTTGGGCTCACTCAGATTCCAAGGAGCTCAATGGCTTGTGTGAGTTACCTACCTGGGGCACAGAGCACCCCGCGTTCTGTAGGCAAACCTCCCCCACCGTTCTGAAAACATGTCCTGTGGTGACCTTTGGTTGCTGTCATAAAATACGCACCTGTTGCCCTCGGCATAAATGGAGCAGGTCTGGCTTCAGCGCGAACAAATGCAGCGGACAGAGGAAATCTTATATCCTCTTCCTCCTTGGACTTCCCGTTGGCAGCTTCTCCTGGGAATCTGCTGATAGCAGATCTTTGTGTTCCCAGTTAATTGACAAGGCCAGGCAGGAGGAAGAGGGGGCTGTGACCGCACGAGGGAGGGGGGGACTGTGACAGCCTGGGAGCTCTAGGGGACAAATGGGGCCGGAACCCAAAGGAGACACAGCGGTTCATTGAATTCCGATGTGTGGACTCAACCTTTACAGATGAGTTTACCTCATTAGATTTCCAGAACTCTAATAATCATGTAACAGTGATCCTGCTAGCTAGCACTGGCCCAGCAGGCAGGAGCCGTCGCTCTGTGAGTAGGAGCTCGCGGGCGGCTCTGTACTATTTCTACCCTTGGCTTTTCAGATTTTTGTGTTCAGCACACAGAAGCTCATTTAAAGCAGAGTAACTCAGACAAGCAGGTGAGGGGCCCTGCTTGGATTCCCGACCATGGAGCGGGGCTGAGGCTTTTGAGCCTCAAGGGCTGGCAGGGACCCCGAGGGGAGCATGGGGCACTTCTGCCCTCTCCCCATGGCTTATCTGGAGGGCTTTGCCCAGTGGAAATTTCTCGGCGACTCTGGGCCTGCGCAGCCGGACCGTGTCGTGGCAGTGACGTGCCTCCCTCTGGGAACAGAACACCCTCCCTGGAGCTCGTGGCCTCATGCGTAGATGGTGGCGAGCGCCTGTTTGCCAAGCCTTCTGTCGCCTCCCTCTCTGAGTCCCATTGAGATCACGGAAACGGAAAGTAAACAACCGCAGAGTGAAAGGCCTCGCAGAGAATTTACTTTAGAGTATTGTTCCAGGATCTGCGCAGAGATAAAGACCAAGTGGAGTGAATGAGTGGCTCTGCAGGCCAGGCACTGAGGAGCCCAGCGTGTCCCTGCCTGGTGAGGTCACTGCAGGCTCCCTTGGGATGTGCCCTTCGGAGAGGTCACCTTGCCACGCTGCCAGCCTGGGCCCCAGCCCCAGGGGACGGAGTGCAGGAAAGCACCGTCACCCACTGGCCACATGTCCAAGTGTAGCGGTGGGAAGGGGCACAGGGAACAGGATCAGGCATGCGTGAGCAGCGTCCCACGGGAGAAGAGATGGCAGACGCAGGGAAGAGCGAGCCCTAGTGCGCCGGCCGGGACGGCAGTCCTGGAGGTGCAGCGTGCCTGCAGCCGGCTCTGCGCCGAGCTGCTGCAGGCCCAGGAGAGGTGGTGGGGTCCGGGTGTCAGAGATCTGGGCACCCTGAGGGTGGGCTTCAGTGCCACAGCAGGCAGCAGACAGCAAACTCCTGATGGGCCTAATTTGGAAGTGAGTGACAGAAAGCACAAAGCAGGAAGGATGCAAATGACCTTGCATATTTAATCCTTATTGACTTTTTAAATTGGTTATAAAATAAAGAGGCCTTCTGGATGAAGACAGCTTGGCAGAGACTACTAGCAAGGGTAGCGTGGCTATGACTCGCCCTCTGTGCATCGAGTGCCGGTGGGCCCCTCATTTCCCGAGAACCTGCTTTGCAGTGCCACCTGCTCTTCCACGGAAGATGCTGTCCACACAGCGTGCTTCCCTGTCCTCTGCAAAGGGCTGTGAGCCGCCTAGCCGGGACCTGGCTCCCCAGGAAGCTGCTTGCCTTCAGACAGTAACAGCACAGGGACTTGCGTGTTTTACCGCCTTCTCTGATCTAACTTCTCGGCTAAGTGTGGCGAGCGAGATCTCCACTTCATTAAAGGGAGCTTAGCAGCCTTGTCTCACTGCTGCGGACTGTTTGGGAGCTCAAGCAAAGAAATAGCCTTCTGCACAGCCTTGGCTGTGACTGCGGTGGGCGGCAGCGGCCACAGCACTGACTTGGGGCTGTCTTCGCAGAAGCGCCTGGTGAATGTGGTGTCTGCTGCGGAAGGGCAGCAGTTTCCATCGTTTCTGCTCACGTTCTCTCGAGCCTTAATGGGAGACACGCTGGTCGCCCACGTGCAGTTTCTGAGCCTTCACCTACCACAAGCCCTGCTCGCTGATGCTCATGTGTGCTGCCTCTGGGGTCAGACAGTCACAGAAACAGGGAGAAGGATCGAGAGCACCAGGGGGAGACCACGTGCGAACAGCAAAGGTCAGAGGAGAGTGGGAGAGGCTTCTGACTCCCCCCCAGGGCCAGGAAGTCTCTGGATTTGACAGCTGCTACCATACACACCTTTCTTCTCTCATCATGAACCCCGGAGAGCCCGTGTTTGTCTCCTTCCTGTACGTTCTGTTCCACCTGGACGTGTTCCCTCTCTAGGGGTGCCATTCCCTGTCTCCACGCATCCTGTGCAGCTGCCAGCCAATGCCGCAGATCCATAGCAGAATCCAGCACCCAAGGGTGCTGGGCACCCACAGACGTGGCATGTGGCCCATGGGCTAGTCCTTGCCACCGCAGGGGCCAGGCCAACCTTGCCACTACCCATAAGGACAGCGCAATGTAGCAAGGCTGTCTTCAGCTCCAGCCCACGGTCCTCAAACTGAGCATAGCTTTGGCTGGTGCGCAGCCTTGCGGAGGTGATGCCAAGGCTCTGCCAGGCCCGCCAGCCGGCGGGGACCGTCCTGCCCCACGCGACGGGGTGCTCACGTGACTTAGAGAGCCCACTGCTCCAGCGTGGGAAGTGCCAGTGAGTGAGCCCGGACGTACGCAGACCCACAGTGGCCTCCTGCCTGATTCAGGGCCACACGCTGGGCATCGGTGCCCTGACCGCGAGCTGCACTGCTGGACACCCAGCTGGTCTCTGGCAGGTAGCAGCTCCCAGCATGGGCAGCTCCTACTGGAGCCACCTGAAGAATTTTACAAGGATTGGTGCCGGGGTGCCAGTCAGCATGAGGCAGCTTTCTCTGGAGAGCTCCTCAGGTGACTCTAAGGGTGCAGCTAGATTTGCAGTCAGCTTCGGGACCTGAAAATCGACACAGCACGCCGCGGTTTCCTGGCGCGCGCGTCAGCAGCAGCGGCGGCTCCCGCACGCCAGCTCTGCCCTGCTGGGCTGGAGGGGCTGAGGACCCTAGCAGCCTGACTTCTCCTAGAGGAGGTAGAGAGCAAGTGCCCTCGGCTCCGTGCTCCAGTGTGTGCGGCTGGGCGGCCTTCCATGGGCCTCTCTCCCTCTGTCCTCTCTCCCTCTCTCTCTGTTTATTTAAAAAGAACTCTAGCTTTGCAGGATCTGTGTAGTACAGCCTTTCCATGCCTTCCTTCAAATAAAATAATAAAATCAGGGGCCGGGGAGATGGCTCAGTGGAATAAGCGCTTCCCTGGCAAGTGCAAGGCCTGAGTTCAATCCCCGGTTCAAAAAAAAAAAAAAAATAATAATAATAAAATCATGGCTGCTTTAAGAATTGCTTTAGCATCTAACTTAGGTTAACTTGGTCTGGCCTTCACTTTTCTTGCCAGTTAGGGTACAGTATGGCGAAACCCAATCAAGTTTAATGACTTTGGGAGGGAAGAGAAACTGGGCAGAAGGAGGAGAAGCTGACTCCCAGGAAGAGATACCAGCAAGGGTCCGGGGCCCTGGGGGGACAGCGGCAGTGGATGGACGGAGGGGCAGTGCGGGGAGGACACAGGCCCCTTCCCAGAGCTGGACAGCTCCCTCCTTTGCTTTTAATTTTTATTTCTACCAGTACCTGTGTGTGCATAGTGACCGCGGTCACCCTGAGAGCTGATGCCCATACATAGCACTTCTTCATTATTTTTACAAGGTCCCCAGCTTTTGGTCTCTTGTTTTGAGAAAGAATCTGGCCTCCCGCGTCCTCTGATCCATTTTTATTTTGCTCTTTATTTGTAGTCCTTTTTTGTTTGATTCTCAGCCACAGGTACAAAGGAGCCAGTGGCCCTGGGGAATACCCCGGGGGAGTCACGGTGACCTTGCAGGGGACCCGAGCCAGGACTTCTCGTCGGCTCCTTTGGCTCTCTGGCCATCCACTTCAGACAAGCGCTCTGCAGCCTTGCTGCGCATCCCTGCACCGTCACACGGGGTTGTCCCAGTTCAAAGCCCACGCCACACACAGGGCTGGGTGTTTAGCTCTCTCATCTCCCCAGGGCCAGAGCTCAGATTCCAACCCAGGAGCTGGTCAGGGGCAGACTGCAAGGAGGGTGGAGAGACCTGTGCGGCTCTCCAAGTTGGCACATGCGGCTGTCAGGACGAGGGCTAGCATGCCCTGTGGCCCCCACACTCCCACCACTGGTGGGGAGCTGCCTGAAGACCTGGGGGTGTGCTGTTCCTTTCTTTCTCCATCTACAGCAGCAGAAAGTGCATCTGCTGTGCTGGGCCAGGACAGACACAGGACAGCAAGGGCCCAAGGCCAGGGGCCCTTTGAGTGCTCAGAGCCAGAGGTGAATGAGGAGTGGAGCTGCGGGGTGCAGACTGCGGGCGGTGTGGGAGGACAGCAAAACAGGGAAGGGCCAGGGTGGAGGAGCCCACACGCCCACCCATTCCCAGGTGGTGGCAAATGACCAGGGCTGGGTCCCTTCCATGACCCTCCTGGTGGCCTTCTGCTCTGTGTTGCATGTCCTGCGTTCTCCCTAAGTCGTGGACAGCGCCTCTTTGGGATCCGCAGTCAAGAGATGTCAAGGTCGGGGTGTTGTCCTCCCTTCCCTCCAGGGCATGCCTCAGGAGCCAGCCCAGCCTCTCTGAAGAGAGTGGCCCTGGGCACAGAGGTCCTGTGTGGGCGGGGAGGCCCTCCCAGCCTGCAGTCCTAACAAACAGCGAGAGGCCGGCCCAAGCACAAAGTCTGAAGTGAATCATAAGCTCTTGTTTTGCTAGAGCAGAAACTGTTTTTGAAAACAGCTTTGTTGGGGTAGGGGGTCCCCAGAGGGCCTGAAACTAACAACAGATTTCCTGGACGGAGTCTGCGGCGGCCGGCAGCTTGTCCTTCCCTTTGCAATCATTCAAAGGAAAAGATAACAGAAGTTACTTGGCGGCAGAGAGCGTTCTGCACTGCTCAAGGTTGCAAGTAAACAGCTTTTGTTAATTCTTAAGAGTAAGTACATGTAGTAAGTGGGAAAATGCGCTTGGTATAAAAGAGGTCCTGAGTGAATTTTGGATTCGCTCAGGGAGAAGTGACGAGCAGGCTGGTGCGGCTTTGTGACTCTCAGAGCGCTGAGAATTAACGAAAACCATGTCGCTGAGGGAAGCCCTCAGTTCACACGACTTTCTCTACCGGAGGATGCTTTTACTCTTTTTAATGAGAAAGCATGCCATGTGAGCATTTAAAGATTTGAATATTTTGAGGCAATACATTCCAATACATGTTTCTCAGAATGTTTGCATATCTAGGAAAAGCCTTGGACCTCTGAATGGTGCATAGACTTTCACACACACGGGTATATATGTATGTGTACACTCGTGTGTGTGTGTGTGTGTGTGTGTATGTGTGCAGAGAACATGGAGATGCTTGTGTGCATTAGCTAAGAATTCCTTGAAATTAATCTTAGGGTTATCAGCTGGGGATGAGCCCCAAAGAGCTCAGGTTTCTATCCATACAGAAGTGGTGACAGGTGATACTGGTCCATTTATCAAACCTAGATTTCACTAGTAATTGTTTAGGAGGATTTATTCAGACAAAATGAAAACATCAGCTCAATCTTAAACAAACTATTTTAAAAGCAAAAGCACGGACATTTCCTGAGCTTTTAAAATAAGTAGATGAATAAATGTTCTATATTTTTGAATAACACACAAAAAACCCCATACGAACTTTAATTGTTCAGGAAATGCCCGCGTTAAGTTCCAGCTTAATTTTCACTCTTTTCCCATGGAAGGGGCTGGCCAGCATTTGCTGGACTAGCAGGGGCCATGATCTTCCAAAGAAGGGACTCTTTTCTTTGACTGCTTACATGTTTGTTTTTCTTTTCTTTTTTCTTTCTGTTTTTAGAAGGACTTGGGTAGCTCTGGCTCTGCTAGCTTCTGATGTGTGCGTGGTGTCCTGAGGCCAGGGAGTGAGGAGCCCGCTCGCGCCACCTGCCTGACCACCTTGGCCGTGCCGCGCACACTGCTGCCAACCCAAGCATGTGCACAGTGGTGGAAAAGCAGGCGCCGCCCAGGCACGCCCCTTGGGTGCGGCAGGAAGAGACCGTGTTCCAGGCACCATCCTCCCTGTCGCGCTGTGCCAAGAATCCAGGCTCTCTTCCCAGAAAGCATGTGGCAGATAAAAATGTAACCAGGTGACCTCGAGCTTCCCATGAGCCTAAGCGTCTCCACCTGCGTGGCCTCGGCACGCAACTTTTATGAGGAGCCCAGAGTGGGGACACCAGGTAGTGCCAGCTGAGCAGCCTAGCCCAGTCCAGGCTCCAGTGGTGGTGAACAGGGACGGGTGGATGGGCCAGCAGCAAGGACAGGGTCTCATGAGGAGGGCTACTGAGAGGGTCATGTGAGGAGGGCCAAAGCCACACATCCCAGCCACTGCCTGGCCAGCAGGCCTAGGGGCCTGCGTGGGGCACGCTGGCAGAGACAGAGAGACAGCAGTTGGTGACACAGGCGTCTGGGAACATGGCCCATCCTATGTGGTCCTCCATGGGCTCAGCCTCTCTGAGCCACAGGCATGTGGACCAAAGTCCTGTCTGGGCCTCAGGGGCCTTTCAAAGTGACTGGTGCACACATGCGTTGAGGACAGGAGGGGGCAGGTGGGACAGGCTCAGGGTGGGACAAGACTCACAGAGGGACCAGGGACTTCCTGTGGCGCAGGAACTGCAAGTGAGAAGATTGTGTGTGTGTGTGTGTGTGTGTGTGCGTGTGTGTGTGCATGTGCACGCACGCATGCATGTGTGCACACGTATGTGTATGATTATACAAGTGCTTGCTCCTTACCTGAGGGTGAGGACAGCATAGGAAGTGGGCTCCAAGAAGGGACTGTGCCCCTGGTGACACCTGCAGTCTCAAGGCCCTGGTGACACCTGCAGTCTCAAGGCCCGTGGGTTTGCGTTTCCAGGCAGCCATGAGGACGTGGTGGCTGTTGTCCTCCTCATGTGACCTGGCTGTGACTTCCACGGCATGAGTGGCAGCAAGCATTCTTGGTGTTTCAGCCAACAAAATCTAAGGGGGTGAACTGTGAGGGAGACCCACTCACCCACCCGAGGTCATGACCCTGAGGGCTGTGCACACACAAGGCAAGAGGTAAGAGGATGCAAAGAAAGAACCACAGTTGTGTTCAGAGATTCAAATGCCCATCTCCCAAACACGGATAGAAAGTACTGACAGAAAATTGGGACAGACTTAGAGGGCTTGGGCAACGTCCACGATCATTTATAGACCCAGTTAGCGTCTGTAAGCCCATCCCAGCGTGTGTGCACAGAGGAGTGGCCAAGAGCTTGTGCTTTGGGGCCATAACACAAACACAAGCGTGTGTGCATCAGTGGCTGCATGAAAGTGTCCGTGGCAGATGGTGTGCCATGTGCCAAGCCTGGCAAGGCACCTAAGCCCCACGGAGGGGCCTGGGCCTGCAGTGGTCCATCCATACACCAGAAGACCACTCAGCCCCGGAATTCGGGAGCTGCTGGTGCGGGGACAAGAGAAAGGTCAGACCCTCTGGAAGCACTGGGGCATGGCCTTGTGAGTTCACTCGAAGTCCTGGCAAGTGAAAACAACCTGGAGCGATGGACCAATCCCACGGCAGGGTCGGGGTGGAAAGCCATGGGGGCAGGAGCACCCCTTTCTTCACAGTATAGCGACGGCTTCCCAGGTAAGGGCAGGTGCCAAGCCTATCAAAGCCAGGCAGCTTTAAGACATGCAGCTCACAGTGCAGCTGCGGTGCTTCTGGGAGTATGAGAGTGAGCCACCTGAGGACAAGGTGGGGTGGCAGCACTGTCATTTGGCAGGTTTCCTTTGTCCTTGGGGGCAATGGGTAATGGTTACAGAACAGCGCGGGGCACCAGCCACTGCATGTGGCAGAGGTCTGCTCTGTCCCCCCGCTCAGCCCTGTCCCCAGGGCCCTTGGAGGACAGGATTCACACCTGTCTGGCAGGAAGGTCATTTTGCAAGGCAGACAGAAGCTGCTGACCAAGCACACGCAGATGGAGGAGCTACACAGTCCTGACTCTGAAGCAGAGTCCTGCCCTCGCCTCACGTCCGCAGCCCTGACTCCCACGTGGCAGCTGTCCTGTGGGACTTCGGGCTCACCAACGGACACGTGGCCTGGTCGTGT